AAATAACCTACAAGATTAATAATTGAAATAATAGAGAAGATTTGTAACTCAGGTGGATGATTTGCAATTAACAGTGTTCTCTGAGCTGGTTGGTTTAGTTGCGGAGCTTTCATCGTCCTTCTTTACGACATCTTCAGCGCAGTACTTAGGATAAAGTGAAATGATTTAAATTTCTTCATGAGTGATATAATTGCGTCTCCCGGTAACCATCTTTACATATGTATTGATCATTTTCTATCGGCTTGGATTTTAAACTTTCTGGTCACCTGATTTACTTTTTATTAGTTGGTATATTTGGTCTATATTAACGTGTTTGTTAATTGCACACTCGTTTGAGTACCAGGCTTCTAGGAATACCCTGGCACTTTTGGTGTTTCCTCTGTCTAAGATTTCGACATTATCCCAATCAAATTGATGTCCATAATTGCCCGTATATATTCATACTAAAGAATTTATATCATGTCTTTTCACAGCTGATTTGTGTTCTTGGATTCTTATTCGAAGGGGGCTCCCACTTTGGCCGATGTAATGCTTCTTGCAGAAAATGGTCAATACACATGTAAAGATGGTTACCGGGAGACGCAATTATATCACTCATGAAGAAATTTAAATCATTTCACTTTATCCTAAGTACTGCGCTGAAGATGTCGTCAAGAAGGACGATGAAAGCTCCGCAACTAAACCAACCAGCTCAGAGAACACTATTAATTGTAAAGAATAATAATTATTAGTGTTGTTCTCTTGGGTTCCGAGTGGAACCTACGGCTTCAACAATACCTCTCCGTTTTGTCGTGTTCTTTAGAATTCTTTTTGTCGGTCTCCAAACTATCTCCACCATATCACACTCGAACACACGCCCAATCCAAAGTTGCCCGTTTGGGTTTCACTCAACCTCCGAGCCTGTCATTGCTGTGTCACTCAACAGTCTCTTATGTGTGTGCCCGGTCCATCTCCAATTCTTTTGATGTATAATTTTTGAGAAATGGATTCTTGACCGGCTTGTTCCCAGATTTTCTTACTGCTAATTGTTTCTAGCTGGTCATCTGGTCCGTAGTATGGAATGAATACAGATGTTGAAAGAAGACTGCAGTGACCTGTTGGAAATGCTTTTCATGACGCTTCAAGTTTCAGACTCATATAGAAAAACCGAAATAATTCAGCGAATTACAAGCTTTAAAATCCATTCTATTTAATTGGTATAGAACATAACTTGATTACTCGATCCTTCACCCTTGTTGTCTATAAAGAGTTTATGTTGCAGTACTGATTTAAAGCCGGTTCTAGATGTCTAGGGAAGTCTAGTTATATTCGTAAAAATTATATTTACTAAAAAAAATTTGGAACTGTAAATCAAACGGTAACAAACCAACCAAGAGCCGATTACTCCACAAATATGTAGGAGAAAATGGAGATGGATAATGTATACGTCGAGGAAGCCATCGGTCGAGTGGAATCCGAATTGGAAACGACGAGTGGGTCGTCTGTGCAATGGTGAAATGGGGGAGATCGTGCATTGGGGATGAGGAGATGAGAGATTATGGTCAATAGGGGGTCCAGTCAGCTGAAGAGAACGTCAGAAAACCGAAGAAATTGGAGATGTGTTATGGAAGCGGTATGTTCCACTCGTAACCCAAGGGAACAATTACAATAATAATTGTATGCTGCATGAAAATTACATCATTGAGAAACTAACCAAACCAACCAGTTGAAGTATAATTTATCTTTGCGTTAATTTAAAAGATACAGACCCTTATTTGGACTACTTTCAAACCCTTTAAATCAAGCCGCATACCAAGGTAGTGGGTAAGCAGTGGGGTAAGTGAAGAAGTTAAGGAATTTAAGCAGCACATTGTAGATGATGGCAATGTGGTAGAATCGTCACCACCCACGCACGTGGTCCTGGTTCGATTCCCGGTTGAATCACTCACAAACTATACCCAGTCTATCAAAGGGATAGCAAGCCAGGAAAATGAGAAAGGTTGGGCATGCGGCTAGTGTCTTCATTCCACTAAAGTAACATCACAGCTACTGGAATTTCAAAGCTTCAAGCCCTGCGTTTGACTCGGAATGCATAGGATGAGGAAAAAAACAACGTTCTAGTTGAAAGTAGCAAAATATCTCCCTTAGGGGCTGAAACTTTTACAGCCCACCTAATAATTAATATTTTCCTAATAATAAGCGAACAAAGATCTTAGTGTTTTGCATTCATGTTCAATTGCTTTGATATTCTAATCAACCTGACTATTGAGTTTGTTAGCATGCATCAGAAAGAAGCATGTATGGCATTCTAAGAATTCATTGTCCTCATTTGTGTATATCTTAGGCAGTTATAACCTTAGTTTGCATAATTTTGTTTTGAAGTTGTTGCTTTTTGCAACTTGACAAAGTGATACATTTTTTTCGTCTTAGAATGACTGTGTTACATCTGAATGAACTTTAGAAGTTACTGATTTATTAATATTCATAGTTAGTTTATTTCTGTACCCAGAGTATTGTCGGTGGCACAGCGGTTAGGATGCTCGCCGACCATGCACTTGGTACGGGGTTCGATCCCCTGTCGACTTATTAGACTGATATGAATGGTTGGTCTGCAAAATTTGGGCTACTGATATCACATGCTGAAAATTCCATACTTGTACCGAAAATGCGGTGTGGAATTAAGAAGCTATAATCAAAATTTAAAAATTATTTCATTACATCTGTTATCATCAATTGACATCACCTGAAATTATTGTCCTACTGGAATCTAGATCGGCCACAAGTTTGATATGTGAGTACCTTAATTTCACCCTATAAGTTGGATGTTAAAATGAACACTACTAAGTAATCTTCGAGTAGCGCCAAAGAATTAAGCAATACACCTTCCGGTTTACTACAGTTCCTTAACTCTTGTTTGTTTATGGTGAAAGCCACTTTGAAACTATTTACTTTACTATAAGATTTCCAAATGAAGTTTATATTCATCTTTCGGTTTTATAAACTGAATTGAAAAGAAGATTTATTGCTTATGTTGCATAGATAACCAGCGGTCTTGAGTTAGTGTACACCTTGGGTTACACAGATTGCTGACTCTCGACCATATTTGTTTTGGAGTTCAAGAATTCGTTGTCTGTGTTAACTTTGCAATAAATCAATAATTAGTTGTTGTTGAAAACCATGATATGTTAACTTATTTGCATTCTTTTGTTTCCCTAGTGGATTATAAGGCTTCAAATTTGTTTCTGTAGCGGTGGTTTTATTGCTGACCTTCCTACTATGCCGAGCTTATTATCGGCTAAGCGTCGTGTAGAAGTGAGTTCACTGGGGATCGAACTCGAACGACATACGTAGTTGGTGAGGATCCTACTACTGAATCATCATGACATATTATTATTATTTTATTGTTATTACTTCCTTTAATTGTTAGAGGAACATAGGCCTTCAGCCTCACGTCTCCATTGCGTTCGATTCTCTGTTAGAGTTTTCACCTGGCTCCAAGTCTGCCCACATGCTTTCATCTCTTCACATGACCTCCTCCAAGTCACCCTCACACTGACGACCAACTCGCCGTTCCCTTTCAGGTTCCACTCAAGCAACGGCTTGTCTAGTAATGTAACTTGATGGTTTCCTCAGAGTATGGCCAATCCACCTCCAGTTCTTTCTGCCTATTTGTTTCACAATCGTTTCCTGGTTGTTTCGCTCCCACAGATCCATCACTGTTGCTGATCTTTTCTGGGCGGTTATATGAACTTGATTAATGAGGGGAGACAACTGTCAATGAAGGTCTGTAGCTTGTTTAAGATGCTCACTTGATATTGGAGTTGAAAATTCAGATCTTATTTTCATTTTCATGCTGAGTGCTGTTGACCTCCACACAGACTTAAGAGGGATGAAAGCTAGTCTTGCTTTTCCGATCCTTGCTTTGATATCCTCGTCAATTCCGCCTGTAGTTGAAACGATGCTTCCCAGGTTGGTAGGTAAAGGAGGTTGTTTCTTTCCGGTTCCTCCCACTTATTCTGGCTGATTGTTGTCTTTTGTTGTTGGCCAGGAATCTTCATCACCTCCGTTTTCTCTATGTTCACCTGTAGTCCTATCTTTGATGCTTCTTCTGCCAACTTGTTGCTTTTCATTTGACATGTAGTATACTTATATTTATTATAATTATTATTTTATTGCTTTACGTTTCCAGTGAAATATAGATCTTCGAGTTGCAGGCTTGACCTTTCCGTAGCAGTGGTGTTTATTTTTACGGGATGGAGTTGCTAGCCTCATGCCCAACCTACTCTCTCTTTAGCAATCTTACTACCGGCTTTGAGAGGTAAATGAGTGCATCGTCGGGGGATCGAACCCCGAACCACATGTGGCGTGGTTGGCGAGTATTCTACCGCTGTGTCACCGACGCACAATGCTATACTTATGTAAGAATCTAAATCTCTAATGTTGATTCTGGTGTAACGATTTGAAACGGACACTACCCGAAAATCTCCTGCCAGACATAATTAATTGTCTCTTTTTTCCACCATTTTTTATTCTATGGTGATTCTCTAATGACAAAACCCTCTTTCATCCACAAGATTACTTTTTAAGTATTTTTTATGATTACGTGTGGTTAAAAAGCTAAGTTGATGACGTCTGTATGAAATAAATATATATGTAAATTGGAAATTCATTATACATAGTCAATTTACATATACATGTGACGTAGTCCCCCCTCCCTGTGTTCATAGGTTACATTGACTCTACGCTCTAAGAATATCTTGACTGGTAGAACACTTCAATAAGTGGTCAGTAAAGTTCGCATTTAAATTATTCTCTAACGTAATAGTGGTTAGTTAATAATTTTGCATTTTAATGTTGAGAGCAAGTCAGTCGGCATTTTTCTTTCATTTTTTGAACTTCCTGACTATTTCAAATTTTCGCTCAAACCATTTGAAAATAAATTTATTTGATGACAGCGGTATTACTTATAGCATTTTCAAAGGATAAGTTCTGTTCTTTTTTTCCTTATTTTTCTTTGAAAGGTTTCCACAAATCATAGTCATCATAATAATATATCGAATGACGCAAAAACGTCATCTAGAAGATCTCAAAAGGTGTCTGTAAATGAGAATATTGATTATGCTGATGTGGATTTTGTGGACTCCGTTGACACTATCAATAGCAATGCTAATAATAATACCAGTAATACCAATTGTAGTAGTAAAGATTTTGATAAAGATGACACAGCTAGTTATTGGAGTACCCGCAGAATGCAACGATTACATTCACACAGTATACTATCGGTCGGGGTTCCAACAACGTCAGCAGTAACAACGACCATGACAACATCGTCGAGTAATCCTTCAGCTAGTATAAAAACTCATTCCAATTCTAATGTAAATAAGGTGGTGGATGAGTTAGATGGCGATCATTTGCATCACAACCGTGCACCTGCTAATACTACTACTGCGACGACTACTAATACAACTAACACTATTGTCCCTACAACTAGTAGGCGAAGTCGGTATCTGCCTACAGAACACTGTATAAATACAACTTCGTCAGCTGCTATGACAACCACATCAAATGATTCAAATGTCAATGATGATATGCATGGGCATAAATCACTTCGTACAACGCTAAATTATTCTGTCAATCGGTTGAATACTTCTTCACGTAGTCAACTGAATCTTGCAAACAAAGGTATGTTTTCACTAATTTTTTTTCACTTATCTTACTTTAAATTTGTTGCAGCAGTTATGTGCAGCACTAGATGAAGCCAAGTGTTTAGACAAGGCTTTGCAAATGTTACCCAGCATGAACTGCATACATTCCATGTATAACAAGAACGCTTTGACTAAACACTAGTTTGCTACAGAGTGTATTCTACCAGTCAGCTTGGTAATGTCACCAAAATACTAGGTGGCCCGCCATCACAGTGTACTCTGAACTTTTGTTAAATGTTGGGAAGTAGTCAGTGGGAAGCCTTCTATCTAGGTTTCGTACGGCAGGTTATCATATGATAGGATTTTAATCTGTCTGAAAGAAGAGCAAATCCTCTGTAATATTTTTCCTTCATTTTCTTCTTCATGTGCACAGCGGTAGATGTTGTCACCTAGTAAGAAACGGGAAAAAGTAGATGGATTAGGCTGGATGGAAATTTTGATAACCCAGTGATTTGAGCACACTGAAGCTATGTAGATCATGTCGTTATGATTTTTACTGCTATTTATCATAAGACGAATAGATTAGTACTGTATGAAATCAGTGGAACGTTTTGTCGAGTACACGCAAAACGCCTATCCCTAAATTTCATTTATTAACTGAAGTTTTTTGGTGGTCGGAGTAACAAAGATATATGGGCATCTAAAATATGTATTGGTTAGAGGATTTCATCATGGGCTGACATCAGTTAGAAGACCATTGGAAAACCTGGGAGGTCTGGACAGCTGTTTCGTTCAAGTTTGGTACCCTTCAGAAGTACGCACCTGCCTCCAGAGTTCGAACTCACGACCTTCTGGTTACAACTCCAGCGTTACTCATAGACCAGTAAGCCAATGGCACTCAATTCAGTAGCCACTGCGTGAATTCCAGCTTGTGCGAATTCACAACATAGCGCAACCAGTTCTCAGTGTCATCTTCGATGAGTAACCGTCCTCACCTTAAACCTGCTGTACCCCACTGGTCACGGCTTCCCACTAGAAGTCTAGGTTAACTGCGTCAATCGGGCAAATCGCTAATGAGCATCAGATCACTTTTCAAGTATTGGTTTTGTAGAGATTTGTTTGATTGGATCAGGTTTCAGAGGCTAAATGATCTACGAGCTCGCTGGCCCTGTAACCAGAAGGTCCTGGTTTCGAACCCTGACGATGCATGCGTACCATTGAAGAGTCCCAAACTAGGATGAAATGGCTGTCCAGTAGTCGTAGGGTTTTCCAATGGTTCTCTAACTGATGTCAGCTGATGATGAATTCCTCCAACCAATCCAGCAACATTACTACAAAACCAACACTTGTAAAAAGTAATGTTTATATCAGCTGGACTCATTACGCCCAATATAATTTTCACTCCAATGAACCGTGTTACGTGACAGTAAAAAAAAATGTTACTTATACTTCACAAGTAGAATAAATCAACTTTTTTTATTTCGTCCAGCATAAATAACAAAACGTGTTATACTCCAGTGGTCTGATTGTATACTTTTCGAATGTTTTGTTTACAATTGATATTGACTGCATTCAATATCGAAAAATTTTTTTCTCAACTAATAGAGAAATACATAAAGTATTTCCATTCAATGCATAGTTTGTTATTGTCTACCATATGAATGTTTATTTCAACTTAGTACACTTTGGGAAATTATTACTACTTATATTCCATGGTTGATGTATTGGAGAATCTTGTTGGATAGCTGAATGGAATTATAAATTTTGCTCATAAGCTCTCCAGTAATGCAAAATTTTGTCAAGTTTACATTGTCGTGTAATTTAACTGACAAAATAATATTACAAGCATAGGAAGGACTAATATTTCTATTAATAGAAGTTTAAATCTAATTTCTGTGGTCAACTTTTAACTGGATAAATCTGAAAACGTTTAATCCTGCTCCTAGGTTGTGGTGGTGATATATTTTTTTGTTTTGGTTATTGCTTATTGATCCCACACCGTATTTGTGGTACAAGTATGGAATTTTCAGTATGTGATATCGGCAGCCCAAATTTTGTAGACTGACCATTGATATCAGGCAGGGGAGTCGGCGGGGAGATTGAACCTTGGAACATGTGTATGGTCGGCGAGAGTCCTAACCGCTGTGCCACTGACGCACACGGATGACACATTCACTACTGTGTTGAAATCAGGAACATATCCGTCAATTTTTCACACATGCAAATTCAAATAGTAGACGGAATCCAATTCACTTCTGAGTTAGAAAATGAACAGGATGAGTTGCCTAGGCTAGACTGTAGAATAAAAAGTAGGCAAGATGATGAGTTAGATACAAGTATTTATAGCGGAACCGACACATGCTAATAAATACCCAGACTGGGCATTAATTCATCCTATCTAGAATCGGTACCGATAGGTTTAGTTAAATGTCTGCATAATCGAGCCAAGAGCTTAACTAGTAAGCCAGAAGATTTAAATAATGAAATTAAATAAATAAAGGAAATGTGATCGGTAGATGGTGACTAGCAGTGGAATACAGGATAACGCAAATTTCGTCCTATTCGAGACTCGTCAACTTTATACACCTGTATTCCTTAGTGAGTAATGATGTTCCCATCGAGGCTCGAACCTAGAGCTCATAGTTTCAAACGTCAAAGAGTTATCCACTAGACCACCTGAACCACGAGAGCCACCTCTTGTGCAACGGGTCATATTGATTATTTAATTCAATTTTAGATTTCCCGTTGACTGATTGGACCAAAGTGTTGTGTCTCAGGTTGTCGTGTTGGCTTCTTGTGTAGATGCAGATACATCCAGATGACGAGCCAATCCCAAATAGGACGAAATGCCCATCCTGGTTTCCACTGCTAGTTACTATCCACCAAATAAATTCTAATTACATGCCCAGACATCGTCGAATCATCTGCATAAGAAGCCGACATGTCAACCTTAGACCGAGCACTTCGGTCCAATCAGTCGACAGAAACCTCTAAAATCCAATTAAAAATAAAGTAAATGCTACTAGTGAATAACTGCTCACCAGAATTTATTCAGAAATATATGAAGAACCATAGAAAAACTAAGTTTTCTTTATTTCCTTCATGTTCTCTGTGGAAAATAGGGCTTCAAGCTAGTGGCTTGAAGTTCCTGTAACAGTGTTTTTTTATAGGATGGGGTTGCTAGCCTCATACCCAACTTTCTCTCTTTACCAATCTTATTAATGTGTAAGTGAGGTAAAGGAGTGCGTCGGCCGGAGATCGAACTCCAGAACATGTGCATGGTTGGCGGTGGCACAGTGGTTAGGACTCTCGCCGACCATTCACATGGTCCGGGGTTCGAGCCCACACCGACGCACACTTGATATCTATGGTCGGCCTGCGAATTTTGGGCTACCGATATCCATGCTGAAAATTCCATACTTGTACCAAAAATACAGTGTGGAATCAAGCTGTAATCAAAAATAAAATAAAAAAAATAAAAAAAATAAAATAAGTATGCTCACCACTGTGCCACCGACGCACTAAGATTAGCAATAAAAATAACGAAAATAATATTGAATTCAAAGCCTCTTTAGTACTGCCGTACAAACAAGATATGTCAGTGGCCTTAAGTGGGATTCTCAATAAGACTGGAATCAGGGCGGCATTTAAACTAACTAACCAACCAACTCTCTCAGAAATAAATTTCGTCGGCTTAAGGAGCAAATAGATCCAATTGAGAGAAATAATTATTATTTCCTTTACTTTTTAGAGGAACATAGGCCTTCAGCCTCACGTCTTCATTGCGTTCAGTTCTCTGCTAAAGTTTTCACCTGACTCCAAGTCTGCCCACATGCTTTCATCTCTTCACATGACCTCCTCCAAGTCACCCTCACACTGACGACCAACTCGCCGTTCCCTTTCAAGTTCCACTCAAGTAACGGCTTGTCTAGTAATGTAACTTGATGGTTTCTTCAGAGTATGGCCAATCCACCTCCAGTTCTTTCTGCCTATTTGTTTCACAATCGTTTCCTGGTTGTTTCGCTCCCACAGATCCATCACTGTTGCTGATCTTTTCTGGGCGGTCATATGAACTTGATTATTGAGGGGAGACAACTGTCAATGAAGGTCTGTAGCTTGTTTAAGATGCTTTTTATGACGCGCCGATTCTCTGATCCGTATATTAGCACTGACTTGACATTGGAATTGAAAATCTGGATCTTATTTTCGATGCTGAGTGTTGTTGACCTCCACACAGACTTTAGAGTAATGAGAGATTGCCTTGCTTTCCCGATCCTCACTGCTTTGATATCCTCGTCAGTTTCGTTTGTTTTTGAAATGATGCTTCCCAGGTATGTGGTTAGGTAAAGGAGGTTGTTTCTTTCAGGTACCATCTAATGACTGTGAGGCCAGTTGCACAGACTAGTTAAACAAGTAGATCAGGGTCAACTAGATTTTTGGAACATATGAATTCAGCTGGACATAGGATAATTGACCCCGCTAAGTTCAATAAGGTAGAAAAAACCTCAGCTAATGAACTGTATTCACTTGTATGTTATCGAAAAATAGGGTGGGTGGGACAGCGTCGGAGTATTAAAAAGGAATATAGTTTTGGTGGAGAAAGAGACAGGTTAATCACTGAAGCTTTGTTTATGGATTCAACGTCGCATACGTGTAATCCTCATGGAGACACGAAAAGAGAAAATATATTACACGAGATGAATAGTGGAAATGTTTGACTAAATTGATATGATTATGAGCATCAATGATTTAAGCTCGAAATGTCTACCAGTTGTTAATATTGCATCACTGTGTGATTATTAAAATAAACTTATCTAATATGGAATTAAATTTTGTGATACTGATAGAATACTAAATGTATTTCTAAACGTTTAATAATGCAATTCCACCTCAGAGGATTTAAATGTACGAAACGAGTATAAATTATGCTACTCCTCGTTGCCAATTTTCGTAGAACTATTCAAACAAGTCTTGTTCACAGGTCGCATAAAATACTTCTTAGTGCATTCACCTATTCGTTACATTGGCTATTTTTTA